GCAGACGTGCGCGCGTTCTGATAAGGGAGCGGTTTGGCTGATGACACTCTAGTGATTCCAGGGTCGCTTCAGTGCGATATAACGCGCAGCGCTAGCTTTCAATTAGACCAAAAAAGCCCCCAAAATATCCCGCAACACAGAGTATGGCTGTGGCCAATGAATGAAATTACCCCAAAAATACATAAATAAACAAATCCGCCGTGTCGACTTCTTAAGGGCTGACACTGGGCTCGTTACGGCAGATGGAATGAAAAGACAAGATTCTCAAGATTAGGATCTTTTTGGTCTTGTGTGGCAAAAGGATTACTTCCGTGCGCGGGACGGTGCGCGGCCCTCCTTTGGTCTCAGAAAGGACAGAGGCTGGTGTTCAAGGTCGGTCCATACAAAGCGCTCGTCCCCGCGAAATAAGTATCCAAGCCAAGACCATGTTCAGCAACGCAAAATTGTTATAGAATTATATACCCCATGAAGAGGAAACTCAAAGGTCCTTTGTCTGATAAAAGGCGTAAGTTATTGTTAACGCACGGCGGAGTGCCAAGCACATTCACTCAAGAGCAGCACTGTGTCCAGTCTGGGGGCCAGGAGCCCCGAGTTTCCTGTATTACAAGAACACACGAAAGGCCTGTCCCGCCCCACAAACGATGGAGGGGGGCCACGGTGCAGGAGGCGCATAGGGATGCAAAAGACTGCAGTATGTAGAGAGTGCAAACAATACAGAGATACATTATGCACGAGGTGAAAGGGGCAGAGTGATAGCCATTGTCTGTAGGAGTCGGTGGGGCCCGGGCTCCTTCCTGCAGCAGGGGACATATGGATTGGAGCAGGCATACGATTCAAGTACGAAAGACACATGGGTGTGACAGACAGCAGGGGGCCTCACAAAGCTTCAGCATTGTTGGCGTCAGAGTGATGTAAGGGCGTCTCTGCATTGCTAAAGGCCTTTGACGCGTCGTGTGTATTTGCTGCGGATATGGTTTTATGTAATTACTCCAAAAACTGTCACCACACACCCAAAGAGTCAAATAGCAACTCACAGGACATGCAAATGTTTTCTAACAAGATGGCGGGAGCATGCACAAAGTATTAAACAGTGGCACGGGTGGTGAGCAAAACTGAAATAATTGTCCTAGCTCTAAATGTCATTAATTGTCTTTCCTCAACATTATATGGCCATTCCCTAGATACTGAAGGAGGCAGTTTCTCATTGTTTAATATTTATACCACTGCCCCCTGTAGGACCTCTTCACTTACTGAGAATAAATATCAATCAAAGTGTGTTTTGATTTTCTAGGATATTTTGGAGTACAAGAGAAGCAGCGACCGCAGGAAGATCAAAATTGCTGGATGGTGCGGGGGGAAGACATAATGGTGGATGACTCTAAAACGGTGGGAGAGTGTTGGTCACGATCTTGCAGTGATTGGTAAACAAGTTTCACAAATACTAGCATGGAGGTGGAAAATCGATTCTGGTCAGTATCTCGATATTTTGGACACGCAGGTAAAACGATACAGTACAGCTCAGATATATTCAAAGTATGCGAGATTTGACTAATCAGTTTCACTCTTATTATTTTTGTATTATTTTATATTTTACTTATTTAACTCCTTCAGGCTCGGGCTCTGCTCTGGCTCTGGCTCTGCTTCTGGCTCAGGCTCAGGCTTTTTGCTATGGCTCTGGCTCTGGCTCTGGCTCAGCTGGGACTCTGGCTTATAGCTCTGGCTTCAGACTCTGGCTCAGACCTCTGGGGCTTTGGCTCTGCTCTGTGCTTCTGGCTCTAACTCTGACTCTGGTCAGACTCGGGCTCAGACTCTGGCTCAGACTCTGGTCTGATCTTTGCACAAGCACGTCTGGCTCATGTCTGGCTCAGGACTCTGGCTACAGACCATCTGGCTCTGACTCTGGTCTGGCTCTGGCTCAGATCTGGTCTGGACTCTGGCTCAGACTCTGGCTCAGATCTGGCTTCAGACTCTGGTCAGACTCAGGCCCTAGCTCTGGCTCTGGCTCTGGCTCTGGCTCTGACTCAGACTCTCGGATCAGTTCTGGCTCAAGCTCTCGCTCAAGCTCAGGCTCAAGACTCTGGCTCAGGACTCTGGCTCAGGAAGCTGGCTCTGGCTATGGCTCTGAGCTCTGGCTATGGTCAGGCTCGTTATTAAAAAAATCAGAGGAACTATCAGACATTCAGTAAACATAAGCGACAATGATATGAAAGTGAAGTGGAGCCTCATTCAAACATAATTCAACAATTAAAAGCTCAAACACCAACAAACTCAGAGTCCAGGTGTCGAATGGACTGTTGGGACAAAAGTTTCTAAGTCACAATATATCCCAGAATCGAATTCGGCCATACTTGCTGTATAGTCATATGGTAAGTACTCGCAAAACTATGAATTGAGGCCCAATTGGCAACACTATCGTTTCGTCTCAGTTTTTGCCCATTCCCACCCTGTACTGGATTCATTGGTTACAGTAATAACATATCAATATCATGGGTGATACAGGTGCTTTCAGACCAATAGCTTCAAAACGCTTTTGACGCGCAATATTTGACGATGGGTCCGGTCTGGTGAACGCCCTTGGTGCTTGAAGCTCCTGACGCCGGGTGGGAGGAGCTTCTCTCGCTCCCGCCTGGAGCTCGCACTGATTCCCGCGGAGGAGCGCCTGTCTTTCAGTCTGCTGTGTCTGAGCCAGCTTTAGCTTGTTCTTATACTAAATAAATTACTTTAACTTCACAGCATATGTACATTGACTGTGTTACTTGCTTTTTAAGAACGTTGCTATTCATACAAATAATATTACAAATAACAATAATGACAATGAAAAAGCAGTAGCAGCTACATGACAGCCCTGCTGCTGCTGCTGCTCCTCGTCTCCAGATTGGTTGAAGCCCGGCGTCAAGCTACAAACGCTTTTCTCAACTTTGGCGTTAAGGGACTTTTTTACGTCAAAAGAGACGCAAGCATTATGCGTGTCAAAAGCTTCAAGTGACGCGCATAATGCTCGCGTCTTTTGAAGTGCTTCAAGTGACGCCGGGCCTCTCAGCGTCACCTGACGCGCTTCACTATTCATTTTCAGTGCAAAACTGACGCTTTTCAAGTCTAAGTTGAGTCCGGTGTGAAAACACTTTAAGGGAGTGCCCAACCACTCTTTCCCACCGCTTGTATCTACAATCTCGTTCTTTCGGTCATTATCCAAAGCTCATGACCAGAGGTGATGGAGGGAACAAGAATTGACCGGTAAATCGAAAGTGGCCGCATCACTGCGCACGCTGCACCAATCCACCTGTCAATCTCACGCTCCATCCTTCCGTCACTCGTGAACAAGACCCCGAGATACTTGAACTCCTCCACGTGAGGAAGGACCTCTCCACTTTGGCGGCACGGTGGCTGAGTGGATAGCACTCTCGCTTCTCAGCAAGAAGGCTCTGGGTTCGAATCCCAGTCGGAACAGTGCCTTACTGAGTGGAGTTTGCATGTTCCCCGTGTCTGCATAGGTTTCCTCCGGGTGATCCGGTTTCCCCTACCACTAAAAACATGCTCAATAGGTATTAATGGATAGTGAAGATTGGGGGCTGATCAGTGGGGGTGGGTCCCGGCTCGAAAGTGGCTAAAATGATGCGCTGACATGCTTGCAATACCACCCCGGGCCGATGGGGGTGGACCCGGAATAAGAATTAGCCAATGCTAACATATAGCGTTGGCAGACCTCTCGAAAAGGATGGTCCAAAAGTTGACTCTTGGCCCAAAGCTCCGTTCCACATGTGTGTCAATGCTGAGGGGGGTGAATTTTTTTGGACCACTCTAGTTTACTCGCTGTGAATTTTTTAAGTCTCTCGTTCAAACGAATGGAGCTTGCGCCGGCTGACGCTTTTTTTCCCGCTATATATATATTTTTTTATATATATAAATGCGCCATATAAATAATCATTACTCATTAATCATTTCTCATTACTCGAGAGGGCAAGGCACCTTTTTCCGGTCAGGCATCATGGCCTCGGATTTGGAGGTGCTGATTCTCATCCCAGCCGCTTCACACTCGGCTGCAAACCGTCCCAGTGCATGTTGCAGGTCCTGGTTCCTTGGAGCCAACAGGACAACATCGTCGGCAAACAGCAGAGATGAAATCCTGTGGTCTCCGAACCGGACCCCCTCCGGCCCCTGGCTGCACCTACAAATTCTGTCCATTATGACAGTAAACAGAAGCGGTGAAAAAGGGCAGCCTGCACCTGCCGGCAATGCAAATACAGATCTGGTAGAGGACAATAATGAAGTCATGAATCCAGTGAAATTAGTCGCAGACCTTTTTACAGTAAGAAGTTACAGTAGATCAAAAGTGACATGTTTTGACTATTTTGGAGGTATTTTGGACCCAAATGGCTACTTTAAATCCATATTTCTCAATATTTCTACAGTAAATGTTTCTTGTCTTTGGTACAGTGGGAGAGGGCAATCATGAGGTCATGAATCCAGTGAAATTAGTCGCACACCTTTTTACAGTAAAAAGTTACAGTAGATCAAAAGCGGGAATGTTTTTACAGTTTTGTGTATTTTGCACTAAAGTGTACTTTGTCTCAATTTTACCCAACATTTCCACAGTAAAGGTGTGTGGTTTTAGGCACAGCGTTGAAGGCAGCTATATTGAGGTCATGAACCCAGTGGAATAAGCCACACAAGTCTTTACTGTAAAAATGGACAGCTGCTGAAAATTTCACTTTTTGACCAAATTAAATGCTTTCCAAATATGGGTTTATTCACAAAAACGAGTCTCCTCAGCGCGCTTTCTGTTCGAGGAAAAAAGGTGACACCGAAAGGCTGTTCCGCTATTACCGTAAGTAGTCAACAAAACGCGCACTGTTTTTTCTCTCGATGCGGGCCCCCCCCCCCCCCCCCCCCCAGACCAGACTGAGTTGCAGAATTGCAGTACAGGTTAGAATCCTGAAGGGGCAGTGTTGTAGCGGTCTAACCATGAGCTGCTGTTTACATCGTAAAGGAAGACACCAAAGATGGAGGCTGTGTGTTCCTCTCAGCTGCAGGATTTACCCACAGACCCTCTTCTTCACATACTGTCCTATCTACACTGCAGGGATCTGGTCAGGTATTAGTCTATAGAGTCCTGAGAGAGACTTGATAAAGACCAGTCTGAGACCAGACCGAGACCAGACCCTGAACTCGAGACCGAGCCGGGAATAGCTAATACGCTAATGCTAAAAACATCACCAGCTGCGGGACCCTCAGACCCGCTTTTACGCGCACCGTTCTACGTACACTACAAGGATCTTGTCATGTACAAGTCTACAGAGACCTGACCAAGACCAGACCGTGACTAGAACAGGATCAGACCGAGACCAGAACCAGGCCAGACTGATACCAGACCCAGATCAAGACGAAGGCCAGTCTCTCTTGGACTGGCCAGAAGCAGGCCAGTCCGAAGGAGAGAGACACAGAGGGACACAGAGGCAAATGCTAAAAACAATGGGGCTAAATGCTAACACCAAGGCGCCTGGATCCACGTGATTTGTATTTTTTATTCATTCTAGTGTGGACAGAATGGTCAGGTCATAGTTTATGTTTCTTCAGCTGACGACAGATTAGGAGTAAATGTGTTTGTTGTTTATGTTTTGTAAGAAGTTTGTTTTATATTTCACCATCAGCTCAGTGGCAGCTCCGTCGGTTTGAGTTTAGGGCTCAGGATTAGGGTGATGATCGGGGTTAGCCCTCTCTGTCAGACATGGAGGAAAAAATGAGTGTGTCCATGTGTGTAGTTGCAGTTACGTGTGCAGACGTCTGAATGAACTCTCCAAACACAACCCACTGTGGAAGAGGCTTTGTAATCAGCACTGGCTGCTGACAGAGTGAGTTTATCTACGACTATTACTGCTACTAATACTACTGATACTAATATTACTTCTGCTCTTACTACCACCACTTCTACTGCTGCTACTAATACTACTGCTACTACTATACTTCTGCTACTACTATTGCTACAGTCTGTGTTTATGCGACGCAGGCCAGACAGCGCCCTCTCTTGGTACGAGCTGTTTGTACAAACATACTCAGACCTGGGAAGATATGTGGACGTTTACTCTACACTAAAGAAGAACTGGGACCAACTCAAACAGTTCCTGCACCAGCGGTGTCCACGGATCATCTCCTCCCTGAAAGGTACAGACTTAAAGCAAAGAGTCAGTGTATCATCTTCTCCGTGAAGACTATGCCAAACACTCCCCTCAGGCAGGAGGCTGCGGTCCATCAGGACTAGAACCTCCCGCCACAAGAACAGTTTCTTCTCCTCTGCTGTTGGACTCTTGAACACTTCATAACCTGTCCACCCGCCCCTTAGAAGTCATCTTACGGCCCCCTTCAATGTCACTTTACTGTCCCTTATTAAGTCACTTTAATGCCATCATAACGTCACTTTACTGCTTGTCACCCTATTGCATATTGTGTGCACCATGTGCACTTGTATATTGTATATTGTACATAGTGACTGGAATTTTAATTGTAATAATTCTATTTTAAATTTTATACCGTGGGAGTGTACGCTAACTTTTATTTGTATTATTCTTATGATGCCTTACTCGATTCTCTATTCTTTACTTCTCTTCTTTGACTGTTGCACTGAGCCAAAGCAATGTCCAAATCTGTGACTTACTGATAATAAAAATGATTCTGATTCTGATTCTGAAATATAAGTACCTAAAGCAGATGTTCCACAGACTCCAGGTCCAACCCTAAACCCATGCTTGGATCATACCCTGATGTTAGAGACATGAGCCGACCAGCATTGTGTCTTTGTGACACAAACTATAATCTGCAGTTCTCTGTGTCGCCTTTAGGTGGAGCCTTAGAGGAGGATTTGGATGCAGTCGAGACGCAGATCGGACTCAAACTTCCAGATGACTATCGCTGCAGCTGCAGAATCCACAATGGACAAAAGCTGGTCATTCCAGGGTAAAGGTCAGGGGTTAACCTTAGGGTCAGAGGTCAGCATTCTCACAGCATATTTCTGTATCCTTAAGACTGTCATATATTTACATATTTTTATACATATCCTTTGGGTTGATTGGTTAGGGTTAGCCTTAGGGTCAGAGGTCAGGGGTAAGGGGTTGGGGTAAGAATTTGGATCAGGGGTCAGTTAGCTTTAGGGTCAGGAATAGGATTGACCACTAAGGCTAATTTTGGGTCAGGTTTAGCCATAGGGTTGGGGTCAGTGTTAACCCTGGGGGTTAGATTCAGAAGGCAGGGGTAAGGGTCAGAGTTCAGGGGTAAATCAGCATGTCCCTGTATCCACATATTCCTATATCCCTCAGGTTGATGGGCAGCATGTCTCTGTCGAACCATTACCGGTCTGAGGTCCTGTTAGACGTGGAGACGGCGGCCGGAGGGTTCCAGACTCGCCCAGGGATGAAGACCTGCCTCCCCCTCACTTTCTGCTTCCACACAGGACTGAGCCAATACATGCACCTGGGGGAAGAGGGGGAGGAGGGGAGGGAGAGAGGGGAGCTGTTTTACCCCTGTCCGGTAAGAAACCCCCACATCTTCAGACCCAGACTGGACTGAGCTAATAATTATCAAAATTTTTATATCTATTATATTTTCAAGATAGAGATTTTATACTTAATATTGATTCTAGAGTTAGATTGTTTTTATTTTGATTAGTATAGCTATTGTTCACTTAACGTGTGCCGTGTGCTCCTCTTTCCTACTGTTCTATAACTTGTGATGCAACACCGAAATTTCCCCACTGTGGGACAAATAAAGGATCTCTTAATCTTAATTTCCTGAACCCTGGGGTACCAGATGACCGTATCTAGAAGACCATGAATCTTTAAAGGACAACTAAACTCCAAATCAACTTTTTTAACTCATAAACTGCATAAATATGTTTCTTTAACATGTCCTGGTCATTTTTTGACCAGGATATTTTATCTTGTCTATGTGGCGCCCTCTCTACCTTTTTGGTGGCACTACTTTTTATTTGGTGCCTGGCCTCTCATTGGCTCTGGAGTGATGTGTGACGTCAGTTGGTATGTGTGACGTGCGTGTAACGTGCGTCTCTCTGGTCAGTGGTATAAACCCATCCAATTCTCACACACGCCCCAGCAGTGAGTTGGAGTATTCTAGCGACATCTAGTGGATTAAAATGGAATGACATCAGTTGACAGCCACTGCTGCTGAGATAATTCTGTGGCTTAGGTTCAGGTGTGTAGCGCTACAATTATCTTAGTGTGTAATCAAGGGTGGAATGAGCCTTTCTGGTGTGTGAACTATTGCTTTAAGCAGCAATGACTTCTCTGTTTTTTTATGTGACCATAGACTGTAAATATTAAATGATGTAGTTACGCTTATCTCTGCCGTACAAACTAATGTGCCACCACTTTTGCCATCTATGGCAGTTTCAAAATGGCAGCGGGGGCTGGAAAATGTGAAAAAAAAAACGCATCCGCTCATGCGTCAGCCGGCACAAGCTCCATTCATAATGGAGCTTGTGCCACTGGCCCAGGCTGGTATTGCAGGCATGTCAGCGCACTTCATTTTGGATATCTTTGAGCCGGGACCCACCCCCACTGTGTGTGACAAGCGAGCTGTCAATCAAAGCCCAGACCACGCCCAACTCTAAGCCCCCTTTCTTGTCCCCTAGTCCTCCAGGCAACGCCCTTTTAAGAGAACATTTTCAAATGTTCCTGTAGAGGGAGCAAGGCTGGTCACAGGTGTTTAGTCGATCTTTAACCATGTGACCTTTTGTCTGCAGAACCAGCGAGCCTCAGACCCTTCAGCCATTGACATGTTCATCACAGGTGTGAGAGACAGGTCCCTGTACTGTGTGTTTGTGTGTTTGTGTGTGTGTGTGTGTGTGTGTGAGACAGACGGATCCTGGTACCGTGTCTCTGTGTGTGTGTGTGTGTGTGAGGCAGACGGATCCTGGTACCGTGTCTCTGTGTGTGTGTGTGTGTGTGAGGCAGACGGATCCTGGTACAGTGTCTGTGTGTGTGAGACAGACTACGTGTGTGTGCAGGTTCTGGTACCGTGTGTGTGAGACAGACAGGTCCTGGTACCGTGTGTGTGAGACAGACAGGTCCTAGTACCGTGTGTGTGAGACAGACAGGTCCTGGTACCGTGTGTGTGAGACAGACAGGTCCTAGTACCGTGTGTGTGAGACAGACAGGTCCTGGTACCGAGTATGTGTGGGTGAGACAGACGGGCCTGGGTACCTCGTGGTTTAGGGTACAGGATATAGGGTTTAATCTAACGTCATACTATGGTGTCCACAGGCTCCAGTTTCTTGTCTTGGTTCACCTCATACGTCCAGAACGTTGTGAGCGGAGACTTTCCCATCATCAGAGACCAGATCTTCAGGTAAAATTCTCTAGAAACTCTCGACCAATCAGAAGAGGACTGGTGCGTTCCACCAATCACAAGGCAGGGTTAGGGGCAGAGGGGGAGGGAGTGGGTTATAATCTTTTCTCCAACATTCAAATTAGAACTTGGTATTTATTCTGCTCTCTGATTGGCTCCTGAGATACGTCCATGACAAATCGTGTGTGGCGACAACTGATGACATCACAGTTTCTGTTTCCACGTCGTTCCTCCCAGAGCTGTCGTCTGTCCATCCACCGCACTACTTCTTCACCTACAGAATCAGGTCTGTCGAGACGCCTTCCCCACTCTGTCTCTCTGGTTTATCTCTCTATGGTCTCTTTCTCTGGTCTTTCTTTCTGGTTTTTTCTGAAATGTGTTCAACAAACAAAAAAACAAACACTCACAATTTTACTCTGGATCTAGGTCTCGGACTGGATTTGGGTCTGGGTCTGGGTCTTGGTTTAAATTTGTTTGTTGTTTCAGCATCTCCATGTCCTCCTCTGCTCCCTCGGATTTCTCCTGTCAGCTCGACTCTAGGTTTTGGAAAATCACCACTTCAGATGGAAAAGTGGAGGAGGTGCAGGGCCCTGGAGTCGTGGGTAAGTGCCTTAAGAGGAGGTGCAGTGTCCTTTAGAGGAGGTGCTCTGTCCTTAAGAGGAGGTGCAGTGTCCTTTAGAGGAGGTGCTCTGTCCTTTAGAGGAGGTGCTGTGGACTTTAGAGGAGGTGCTGTGTCCTTTAGAGGAGGTGCTGTGTCCTTTAGAGGAGGTTCAGTGTCTTTAAGAGGAGGTGCTGTGTCGTTAAGAGGAGGTGCTGTGTCCTTAAGAGGAGGTGCTGTGTCCTTAAGAGGAGGTGCTGTGTCCTTAAGAGGAGGTGCTGTGTCCTTAAGAGGAGGTGCTGTGTCCTTAAGAGGAGGTGCAGTGTCTTTAAGAGGAGGTGCAGTGTCTTTAAGAGGAGGTGCAGTGTCTTTAAGAGGAGGTGCAGTGTCTTTAAGAGGAGGTGCAGTGTCTTTAAGAGGAGGTGCAGTGTCTTTAAGAGGAGGTGCTGTGTCGTTAAGAGGAGGTGCTGTGTCGTTAAGAGGAGGTGCAGTGTCGTTAAGAGGAGGTGCAGTGTCCTTTAGAGGAGGTGCTCTGTCCTTTAGAGGAGGTGCTGTGTCGTTAAGAGGAGGTGCTGTGTCGTTAAGAGGAGGTGCTGTGTCCTTTAGAGGAGGTGCAGTGTCTTTAAGAGGAGGTGCTGTGTCGTTAAGAGGAGGTGCTGTGTCCTTAAGAGGAGGTGCTGTGTCCTTTAGAGGAGGTGCAGTGTCTTTAAGAGGAGGTGCTGTGTCGTTAAGAGGAGGTGCTGTGTCCTTAAGAGGAGGTGCTGTGTCCTTAAGAGGAGGTGCTGTGTCCTTAAGAGGAGGTGCTGTGTCCTTAAGAGGAGGACACGCCTTGAGCCTGAAGACTATAACAATATCATTTATTACATGGCGTAGAGGGTCTTAGTAAAACGTACTAAGGATCCGTCCAAACGTGTCCGTTTCATCTCTGTCTCCATTTTCTCCATGAGGGTGAATGGAAGTTCCCGCAACATGCGTCCGTATAAAGCACGTAGGGAGCAGTGCGTCCATGCAGGGTGCAACAGAAGCGGACGGACAAAATAGAGACAATCTTATTGTTTACGTACGCGTATGGTCTGTACACAGGAAAAATACATTTACTACATTATTATACATGTATTGATATATGCTGTGGTCCTGGTGATAAGTGTCTGTTAATGATAATGATTATTAACAAATGTGTGTCATTTTTTTATGTATTAAATTGAAATAATTGTTTTCTGATCGTAAATCTGCCATTTATTTTTTGCGTAATATTGACTTGCTTTCAAAAACGCCTGGATATGTTCGAGTTCTTTTCTCTTTTCTGTCTCCCCTTTTTCCAATTGCTTTCAATAAGTTTTGCCTCATCCATCGCGACGTCCTCGATGCTTCAATATGCCTTGCTTTGCAGATCATAGCCACAGCTCATGCACATCACACACCGCTTCTTCTATTTGAATGATCTGAAGTTAAATACATCTGCTGGCAATAGCAGAGGTATTTTGAACCCCATAACCCACAAGCTATATGTCATTTTAAAGCTTATTTTCCCATCTACATTTATATACAAGTGTAAACAATATCATACTTTGCATTAAAAAGATATAACACATAATATGGGAACAAAATAAATCACGTCCGTATAAGTTATTTACCTTTGGACTTGTACTGCAGAAACAAATTAGACTTCCCCCATCCTTCTAAGGCTCTTTCACTCCGCAAATGTCCATGGAAAAAGAATATCCACTTATAAGTATAAGTATAATCCATTCTGCAGGAATAATCCAAAAGTGTGCATTTATCTTTTGCGAAAAAAACGTTCTGAAAGAACGTACAGGCTACTCTTTTAAAGTCCGGCGAGTTTAGACTACAAAATTAGACCTTTCCTGAGGAGAGACGTGGAGGTGTTCGTCTGCAACACCCCCGTGAATAAAACAAGCGGTCACTTTTTGCGCATGGTCACTTCGTATTTGTTGTTAGCCAGACGGCTAGGGAAGTGATCTTTTGCCGAATGATTGACATGTCTAAGTAGCCAATAGTGAAAGCTTTCTAGCAATGGGTGGGACATGGGGGAACTGTTGAAGTCTGCCTCGAGAAGCATGCGTAAAGGCAGAGAGAGCCGCTGGGCCGGATTCCAAATGGCACTACTTGATGAAAAAGAGAAACTGCATTAAAAACTACAAAATGTAGAAGTCTGAAACTTTAGGCAGTCAACAACACAATGACCATATAGAGTTTGAATATTGTGATCTTCCTATGAAGTATGCCTTTGTTAGGGCCTTTATACATTGAATATTTTAGGCAAGGCTAAAAAAACAGTTTTTTCCCCCCAAACTTCAGAGGATGCAAAGTGAAATAGGAATGACATACATTAGTGTATATTTACATAAACTAGAAAGCTCTAGCTTTAAAATGATTCATCACACAAGCATGTGAGATGTAAGATGTGTTTTTAAATAAGCTAAGAAACTTGGGTATGTCCAACTTTTGGCACGAGCCAAAATGATGCAGGAGCTTTGAGGTTAAAACAAAGCCGTAAACACAGGTGCTGAGCGCTGCTGAAGCCGGTGTGGCCACTATTTCGTATTTTAAGCACGTCTGACAGGCAGCAGCCAATGCGCGTAAACAGAGACGCGGCCAGTGGAATCTAGCACTTATTACTAATTACTAGGGATGTCAAAATTATCGCGTTAACGCACGTTAATAAAAAAAAATCATTAATTGCGTTAAAAAAATTAACGCGGTTGACGCATGCCCATGCATCCCATAATAACACTCAGAATGCCGCGGACACGTGTGTGTGAGATGGTGACAGAGCAGGTAGGCCCTCTGAGAATTCAAGTTTTAAAAGAATACACGCGTTTCTTGTATGAACTCTGTGAGCTGAGCTGTGGGCGCTCTGGGCAGCGGTTCCTCCAGCGGCTCTGATCACGGCGAACGGCGCCGCTGTAACGTCATATCCAAGACCACGCACTGTACTATTCTCTGCTTGTAGTGTGCGTACGTGTCTTTGTGTAACCGGTGCACACAATATATACAGTGCAGATGCTGGACAACGGAGCCTCAGTCTCCTCCGTGTCTTCTCTCGCTAAATTAAAGCTGGGGTATCTAATTATTCCCTTCCACTACCAGTTCATGTTGGTTGTGCCCAAAAGTAAAATGTTGTGAGCAAATCAAACAGATTTAATGACATTCTGCATTTCAGACAGTTTTGAAATATCCCTCATCTGTAACAAACAATAGTTTTGGTCTGAGTCTAAACAGAAAGACAGAATTTTAATAATGTTAATGCCATTTGAGGTGGATGTATTGTTGTTATAATAAACAAATACAGTTCATATGTACACTATGTTGTCATTTATCTCTCCATTCAAACAACCATTTACAGAAAAATATGGCATCATTTTGTTGATAGTTTGAAATGCGATTCATTACAATTAATTAATTTTTAAGCTGTAATTCACTCGATTAAAAATTGTAATCGTTTGACAGCCCTAATAATTACATGTTGGCTTAACATTTCTGAATACATTAATAAGATGGTGGTTTTCTTGAGGAAAATAGAACAGATCATCAATTCTGCAACTTAATATTATAATGTAAAATAATTTCAGGAGCCACTGAAAATGGTTCCTGCACAAACCTCTTTGAGCCATGGCGCATCACCAGCTGAAACTGAAACAAAAATATAACTTGTGTGTTTTAGGAGAGTTCCCGGTGATGACTCCAGGGAAAGTTCATGAATACGCCTCCTGCACCACCTTCTCCACCTCCTCTGAAGAAATGGAGGGACACTACACCTTCCACCGGCTGAGTAAGGAACTCTAACCTTAAACAAAATCTGAGTAAAACAAACCTTTATAATATATTAAGATGAAGAGATCCTCTAATGGTCCCACACCGGAGGAAATGTCAGTGTTGCATCACCAAGTACAGAACAGTAGTAACGAGGAGCACACAATAACTGTTAACACACAGAATAATGATGCGCACACTCAAAGACGCTTCACATGTGTCATTATTCATTCACTCCATACACAGTGGTGATAAACTACTACTGTAGCCACAGCTGCCCTGGGGCACACTGACAGAAGCGAGGCAACCAGTCTGTGCCATCGGCCCCTCCGACCACCAACCATTACTACACACACCAGACTCATTCTGGTGCCATGGTGTGTCTGAGTGTGTCCGTAAGTGTGTCCATGTGTTGTGCTCTGTATGAACTGTTGTGAGAGCCTCATGTGAGCGGCCCTTAAACCGTAGGGCAGAAACAGGGTTAGGTTATAGAAACTCTAAGACAAACTTAAACTTGTTTTTCTCACAGAGAACAAAGAGGACGTGTTCCAAGTCTCCATCCCTCGTTTCCACATGGAGTGTCCTCCGTTCAGAAGATCCACCAGCCAGGTATGACCCCAAGGCCAGCCCCAGGTCATCAGGCGCCCCAGGCAAAAATATATCATGGCGCCCCTTGCACACTTGTAGAGGGCACAGTGAACAAATGTGCAGTGAAAGTATCGCAAACCTCTTTCAGATAAAAAAAAAAAAAGTTTAAAATGTGCATTTTGGCGGCTCGTTCCCACGGCTTCTCATTCCACTTTTACGTAAGAAACAGCTAAAAGGGGCCAACCGCTGTCAATCAGTGCCGGCCAAGTTACTTCAGAATGTAATACATTATGTATTATTTATTTCTGTCAACCGATCATCACCTGGTCGTGAGTTGGATCCGCTGGCAGGGGAAGAAGCCGGTCAGACCTGGCAGACCCAAGCGTATAGTGAGGGTTTGCTGGGAACGTCTCGCTGAGCCCCCTGTCAGACGGACTTTCAACTCACACCTCCGGGAGAGTTTCTCCCAGGTCCCGGCGGAGGAGGAGGACATGGAGTCCGAGTGGACCATGTTCTCTGCCTCAATCACCGATGCGGCGGCTCGTAGCTGTGGTCGCAAGGTCTCTGGTGCTGGTCCCGGCGGCAACCCCCGAACCCGGTGGTGGACACCGGCAGTAAGGGATGCTGTCAGGCTGAAGAAGGAGTCCTATCGAGCAATGATGGTTCGGGGGACTCCTGAGGCAGCTGTCCAGTACCGGCAGGCCAAGCGTGCCGCGGCAAAAACCCGGGACTGGGAGGAGTTCGGAGAGTCCATGGAGCATGACTATCGGTCGGCCTCGAAGAGATTCTGGCAAACCATCCGGCGCCTCAGGAGGGGGAAGCAGTTCTTTGCCAACACCATGTACGGTGCGGGTGGAGAGCTGCTGACCTCGACTGGGGATATTGTCGGGCGGTGGAAGGAATACTTTGAGGTTCTCCTCAATCCCCCCGTCACGTCCTCTGTTACAGAGGCAGAGGCTGAGGATGTTGGGGCGGATACATCCATCTCCCTGGCTGAGGTCACCAAGGTGTTTGGCAGCCTCCATGGTGGCAAGGCTCCGGGTGTGGATGAGATCCGTCCTGATTATCTAAAGTCTCTGGATGTTGTAGGACTGTCTTGGCTGACACGTCTCTGCAACATCGCGTGGCGATCGGGGGCGGTGCCAATGGAGTGGCAGACCGAGGTGGTGGTCCCTCTCTACAAGAAGGGGGACCGGAGGGTGTGTTCCAATTATCGTGGGATCACACTCCTCAGCCTCCCCGGTAAGGTCTACTCCAAGGTACTGGAGAGGAGGCTACGTCCGATGGTCGAATCTCGGATCCAGGAGGAGCAGTGTGGTTTTCGTCCCGGTCGCGGAACACTGGACCAGCTCTATACTCTCCATCGGATACTCGAGGGTTCATGGGAGTTCGCCCAACCTGTCCACATGTGCTTTGTGGATTTGGAGAAGGCGTTCGACGGTGTTCCCCGGGGTGTTCTTTGGGGGGTTCTTCGGGAGTACGGGGTCGGGGGTCCTCTGCTGAGGGCCATCCGATCCCTGTATGGTAGCGGTTGTTTGTCTGGTCTCGGAGTCTGTTGTGCGGGCCCGGATCCGTACTAGCTTAGCCTAGCCTAGCTTAGCCTAGCCTAGCCGCTAACTCGCTACTATGGCGGCTGCTGTCTCTCCCTCAATCCTTTACTGCTCGAGTTGCCATATGGCGAGTCTAAACCCTGGATCCTTCCCTGAGGGTAGTGATAGATGTGTGAAGTGTAGTGTAGTCGTAGCTCTGGAATCCAGGGTCAGTGAGTTAGAGCTGCGTCTCCGAGCACTGGAGTCTCGAGCTAGCGCTAGCATTAGCTACAGCCAGGCCGTATCCTCAGGGACAGCGGAGCGCAGCTTTAGGGAAAGGCAGAGGAGAACTAGCGAGCCTAGCCTCCCAGCGCGTCCTCCGCAGCTGGGACAAGACCAGGATAGTGATGGCTTTGTGACTGTTCGGAGAGGGCGACGTGCTGTTGGTAGTTTCCCCATTGGGCCTCCTCCTGTTAGCATTTACAATCGCTGGGACGCTCTGTCCGGCTGCGCCCCCGCGCGGCCGGGCGGGGAAGAAGGCCCCACTGAGAGAGCCGCTGAGAGAGCTGCTGAGAGAGCCGATGGAGTCGCTGATGCGCTGGTAATTGGCTCCTCTATTGTTAGAGGTGTTAAGATCCCAGGAGCCACTGTTCGGTGCTTCCCTGGGGCCAGGCTTGGTGATATTGAAGGGAATCTGAGGCTCATGATGACCCACAAGCAGCGTTTCCGTCGAATTGTTATTCACGCGGGTGGTAATGACGTTCGGCGGAAACAGTCCGAGGTGTTGAAGCTGCAAGTCGCCGCCGTGTGCAAGCTGGCTAGCACAATGGCCGACACTGTCATCTTCTCTGGGCCCCTACCTAGCACTAGCAGTGCAGAAGCATTCAGCAGACACTCGGCTTTCAACCGCTGGCTGTCTGGCTGGTGCCCTCGAAGTGGTGTTGTTCATGTTGACATTTGGAGTGCCTTTTGGGGAAAGCCCGGTCTCATCCGCTCGGATGATATCCACCCAACGTTGGCGGGTACATCCCTTTTGGCTAAGAATTTGGCCCTGGCTCTAAACTGAATTGAAATTGAAGTCTAAAGCACTATATGCGAGGAAATCTGACCTAGGTGTCAGACACAGTAACTTAATAAAAGTTCAGACAGACAGAAATAGTTCTAGCGGTAGGGTTGTTAAATGTGGTTTAATGAACGTCAGATCAATCTCGTCTAAATCGCTTCTCATAAACGAACTTATTATAGACAAGGGCTTGGATCTGTTTGCGCTCTCGGAGACTTGGCTCCAACAGGACGAGTACGTTAGATTGAATGAGTGCACTCCTCCGACGCATGTTAACTACCAGAAAGCCAGAGCTACAGGTCGCGGCGGTGGTGTTGCGATTATATCACACACCAACTTGGTTCTTAGTCCCAAAACCAACAACGCTTTTCACTCGTTTGAAAACTTAACACTTTCAATCACCTGTCCTGGGTGGAGAAAACAAAAATCAGTACTATTTATAGTTTTATACCGACCTCCTGGTCCTTACAGCGAGTTCCTAACAGAATTCTCTGACTTCATTTCAAACCTAGTTTTGGAATGGGAAAACATAGTTATAGCTGGAGACTTCAATATACATGTGGACGACAGCACTGACAGCTTAAACAAAGCTTTCAGCGCCGTACTAGACGGTGTTGGTTTTACTCAGAATGTCGAGGAACCTACTCACATTCATAACCACACCTTGGACCTTGTCCTGACCTACGGCTGTGATGTCTCCAATGTTGACATCCAGCGTCAAAGCTCGTTGCTGTCTGACCATTTCTTGATCACGTTTGATCTCGCTTTGGAGGACTTTCCTGTCCCGCAAGATAAAACCATAATGAAAAGAACCTTAAATGATAAATCTATCACAAGGTTCAAAGAACTAATACAGCCTATGTTGAATACTGCTGCAGGTGAACCTGTTCACAGCTGCTGCAGTCCCTCAGTCATTGACCAAACGGTGGGCAACACTATGGAGTCTTTAAAATCTGCATTAAATGCAGCAGCTCCTTTAAAACAGAAAACCATTAGGATTAGATCATCGTCGCCCTGGTACAGTGTTCAACTCCACACTTTAAAACAGGACGTCAGAAAATTGGAGAGGCTATATCGCCACTCCCACTCGGAGCCTGTCCACAGGGAGTGGAAAGCAGGTCTCCGAAACTACAAGAAGGCCCTTCGCGGGGCTCGAACTCAATACTATTCAACTTTAATAGAAGCGAATAAAAACAACAGTAGATTTTTGTTTGGTACCGTCGCTAAACTCACAAACTGCCATAGCGCAATCGAGCCTAAAATTCCAAGCTCACTGAGCAGTGTCGACTTTCTCCACTTCTTTAATAATAAAATTACATCCATCCGTGACAAGCTGGAGGAGGTTGCTCCTGCTGTTAGTGGTGGACAGGTTGAAGCGGCATACGTGATGTTGTAGAATTACATACCCCAAAACAAGGAGAAAGCCCAAAAGTATTTGTCTTAAATCAGGAGCGTAAGTTTATTGTAACGCACGTGCGGAGAGCTAGCATATCCAAAAGGCAGCAGCATACCCAGCTCTGCTCGCAGAGCCCCGGCTTCCTGTTTACATAGACAACGCATGAAGGACAGTCACGCCCACAACAGATGGGAGGGGGCCACCGGTGAGGAGGCGCATAGGGAGCGTTGGCGCCATCCCCTGTTGTGAGGCAATCAGACACAGGGCATGGAGGTGCGAACAGACAGACAATGGTCATGCAGGATGTAGAGAGGCAGGCATACAGATGCGAAAGGGACAGGGGTGAGACAGTGATTTGCATCATTGTCTGGCGGGTGCGGGAAGGACTGGCTCCTTCCTGCAGGTTAGCTGGATAGAGCAGCAGGGGGGGGTGAGTTGGCGTCCCCGAGTCACAAGCAGATTGCCATCACACTCCTCTCCCGTGATAATGTAGAAACTCCAGTTTTACAGAGATCACATTCAGGTGGGTGAGTATTGACCTTGACCCCTGAGCAAAAACAAGAGTTGTTGATGGGCAGGCTAGGCTGCCGTCACCCAAGCCTCTTGTATTACGAGGGTGTGGTCAAAGCTCTTCACTGTGATACCCTTCCCCTAAACTGTAGGCGAAACAAGTGGAAAAATAAAAACAAGGTAAACAAGAAAGAAAAACGTTAGACAAAGTCATCGTCCGAGTCGCTGATATAATCAGGATCGGAGTTCAGTGGGACAGCGGCCAGGTCCGCCTCGGGGTCTTTGCATTGAATGGACACAAAGTGGGTGGATATCATCTTACCAACGGCCCGAAACACCATAGGTAATACACATGAAAACAAAATCATAACAGTCAATAGGGCTAAACCAAGATTAATGAGCACACTTCGCCAGGAGGACAGGAGCCAGTCCAGACCGTGAGGAGTGTCCGTGACATTGTCCGCTTGCATGGCGTCCCGGAGTCTAGTCAGATTGGCTATGCCCTGTTGGATAAGACCTCCGTCCTCAT